TTACCAGAAGGAGAAGAAGAAGAGCAAGGGATAGAAAACCTGTTTGAAACAGTAATGATGGACCTTCCCTAATTTGATGGGGAATAAAAGTCAAACAAATCCAGAAAACACAGAGAGTCCCAATAAGAGAAACCCAAAAAGGCCCACCTCAAGACACATTATAATTAAAATGGCAAAATTCCAGGACAAAGAGAGAATCTTAAAAGCAGCAAGGGAGAAACAGGAAGTAAGCTAAAAGGGAGCCTCAATAAGGTTAGCAGCTGATTTCTCAATGGAAATTCTCCAATCCAGAAGAGAATGACAAGAAATATTCCAAGTTATGAGAACCGGAGGCCTGTAACCAAGGCTCCTTTACTCAGTAAGGCTCTCAATCAAGATAGAAAGCCAAATAAGAAGCTTCCCAGACAAAAGAAGTGTGAAAGAATACATCTCCACCAAACCAGCTCTGCAAGAGATGCTAAAGGGACTTTAAGGAAAGGAAGGAAAAGGGGGGGGGAACACAGGTATGAAAATGGCAATGAATAAGTACCTATCAATAATAACCTTAAACATAAATTAAATTCTCCAACCAAAAGACATAGAATAGCTGAATGGATAAGAAAACATGACCCACATGTATGTGCCTACTAGAGACCCACCTCAGGACAAAAGACCTACACAGACTGAAAATGAGGGGCTGGAAACAAATTTTCCAAGAAAATGGACAGGAAAACAAAGCTGGGGTAGCAGTACTCAGACAAAATAGACTTCAAAAAAAGGGCCATAAGGAGAGACCCAGAAGGTCACTTCATAATACTCAAGGGAAGAATACACCAAGATGACATAAACATTGTAAATAAATATGCACCCAACATAGGAGCACCCAAATACATTAAGAAAATCTTAGAGGACTTCAAGAAAGATATAGGCAGCAACACAATTATAGTGGGAGATTTTAACACCCTACTGTCAAAAATGGACAGATCTTCCAAACAAAATATCAACAAAGACATTGTGGCATTTAACAATGCTCTAGATGAAATGGACTTAACTGATATATATAGAGCCTTTCATCCCAAAGAAACTAAATACACATTCTTCTCAAACTCACATGGAATATTTTCAGAGATGGACCACATGATAGGACACAAAACAAGCCTTAACAAGTTCAAGGAAATTGAAACATATCAAGCATTTTTACAAGGGACTGAAACTAGAAACCAACCCTAAGGGAAACAAAACAAAACAAAACAAAACACTCAAAATCATGGAGATTGAATAGCATGCTATTAAACAATGACTGGGTCAAGAATGAAATTAGGGAACAAATCAAACTGTTTCTGGAAACAAATGAAAATGAACTCACAACAACCCAAAACTTATGGGACACAGCCAAGGCAGTCCTGAGAGGGAAGTTCATAGCGATACAGGCATACCTAAAAAAGATAGAAACATTTCAAACAAACAACCTAACCCTATGCTTAGAAGAACCCAAGGAACAACCATAAAGACAACCCAGAGCAAGTAGAAGGAAGGAAATAACCAAGATCAGAGCAGAATTAAATGACACAGAGACTAAAAGCATAATTCTAAGGATTAATGAATCCAGGAGCTGGTTCTTTGAAAAGAAAAACAAAATCGACAAGCCTTTAAGCAGACTCATCAAGAAAAACAGAGAGAGGACCCAAATAAACACAATCAAATGAAAGAGGAGAGATTACAACTGACACCACAGAAATACAAAGGATTGTAAGAAATTACTATGAAGAACTGTATGCCAAGGAATGTGAAAAACTAGGTGAAATGGACAAATTTCTAGAAAAATATAATATTCCAAAACTCAATGAAGAAGCAGAAAGCCTGAACACACCAATAACAGCAGATGAAATTGAAGCAGTAATCAAAAAACTCCTGATATGCAAAAGCCCTGGACGAGATGGTTTCACGGGAGAATTCTACAAAGCATTCAAGGAAGATCTAACCCCTATCCTTCACAGATTATTCCAAAAAATCCAAAATGATGGAAGACGCCCAAACTCTTTTCATGAAGCCAGCATCATCCTAATCCTAAAATCAGATAAAAACACAACAAGAAAAAAAACTCCAGGCCAATATCACTGATGAACATAGATAGTAAAATCCTCAACAAAATATTGGCAAATCGCATCCAACAATACATTAAAAAGATCATACACCATTACCAAGTGGGATTCGTCCCAGAAATGCAAGGATGGTTCAACATTTGTAAATCAATAAATGTAATAAACTGCATAAAAAAAAGCAAAGGCAAAAGCACGTGATCATATCCATAGATGTGAGAAAGCATTTCATAATGTACAGCACCCATTTACGAAAAAAACACTCAGCAAAGTGCAAGTAGAGGGAGCATTCCTCAACATAATAAAAGCCATATGTGTGAGACCTACAGCCAACATCATATTCAATGGGCAAAAACTAAAATTTTTTCCACTAAGATGAGGAACAAGACAAGGCAGTGCACTTTCATCAGTTCTATTCAACATAGTATTGGAAATTTTAGGCAAAGCAATTAGAAAAGAAAAGGAAATAAACAGTATCAAAATCAGAAAGTGGGAAACAGGACTGTTGTTGTTTGCAGGTGACATGATAGTGTACCTAGAAAATCTTATAGACTCTGTCAAAAAACTGCTTGACCTAATCAACGAATTAGGCAAAACTGCAGAATACAAAGTCAATATCCAGAAATCAAAGGCATTTTTGTATACCAACAATGAAACAGTAGAAGTAGAAATCAAGAAAAAAAATCCCATTCGATATAGCAAAAAGAAAAATAAATTACCTAGGAATAAACCTAACCAAGGAGGTAAAAGACCTGTACTCAGAAATCTACACAACACTGAAGAAAGAAATCAAGGGAGACAGAAACAAATGGAAATATATACTGTGTTCATGGATTGAAAGAATTAATATCATCAAAAATGTCCATACTACCCAAAGCAATTTACAGATTCAATGCAATAATTATTAAAGTGCCAGTGGCTTATTTCACAAACATAGAACAAACACTTCAAAAATTTATATGGAATTATAAACGACCCTGAATAGCTGCTGCAATTTTGAGAAAGAAAAGCAAAGTAGGAGGGATCACAATACCTGATACCAAACTGTATTATAAGGCCATAGTAATCAAAACAGCCTGGCACTGGCATAAAAACAGGCACATAGACCAACAGAACAGAATAGAGAGCCCAGAAATAAACCCAAGTCTCTATGTTCAATTAATATTCAACAAAGTGAGGAAGCAGCAACATAAAATGGAGTGAAAACAGCCTCTTCAACAAATGGTTTTGTGAGAGCTGGACAGCTACATGTAAAAAAATGAAACTTGAGCACCAAATTACACCATACACAAAAATAAATTCCAGGTGGATAAAAGATTTAAATATAAGTCATGACATCATTAAAGTCCTAGAGGAGAACACAGGCAGGAAAATCTCAGATATTTAATGCAGCAACATTTTTACTGATATGTCCCCTAGAGCACAGGACATAAAGGAAAGAATAAACAACTCGGACCTCATCAAAATAAAAAGCTTCTGCACAGGTAAAGAAAACAGTATTAAAATAAAAAGAAAAACAACTGTATGGGCAAAAATTTGCCAATGATACCTCAGACAAGGGTTTAATCTCCAAAAAATATAAAGAACACACAAGACTCCCCTGTAAGAAGACAAGCAACTGAATTAAAAAATAGGCAAAGGACTTGAACAGAGAATTCTCCAAGGAGGACATTCAGAGGATCCAGAGACAGATGAAAAGATGCTCAGTATTGCTAGCTATCAGAGAGATGCAAATTAAAACCACAATGAGATACCACTTCACACCAGTCAGAATGGCCATCATAAACAAATCAACAAACAGCAAGTGTTAGAGAGGTTATGGAGAAAAAGGATCCCTAGTGCACTGTTGGTGGGATTGCAGACTGGTACAACCACTATGGAAAACAGTATGAAAATTGTCTCAGAAAACTCAAAATGGATCTGCCTTTTGACCCAGCAATTCCACTGCTAGGATTATATCCTAAGAACCCTGAAACACCAATCCAAAAGAACATATGCCCCGCAATGTTCATAGCAGCACAATTTACAATAGCCAAATTCTGGAAGCAACCTAGGTGCCCATCAGTAAATGAGTGGATCAAAAAGCAATGATACATACACAAAGGAATTCTATGCAGCAGAAAGAAAGAAGGAGCTCCTAACCTTTGTGACAGCATGGATATAACTGGAAAGCGTTATGCTAAGTGAAATAAGCCAAGTGATGAAAGACAAATATCATTTGATCTCACCTTTAACAGGAATCTAATCAACAAAACAAAGAAACAAGCAAAATATAACCAAAGACACTAAAATTGAGAACAGGCTGACAGTAATCAGAGGGGAGAGGGGAAGGAATTTCAGGGGAAGGGTGGGAAGGTTTTGAAGGAACTAGTGTAAAGGGCACATGGGCAATAACAAGGGGGGATGGAGATGGGTGGTGGGTGGGGAGGGCGGGGTGGTGGGCTGGGATGAAGGTAAATGGCAGAAAACTGTACTGGAAAAACAATTAAAATGTAAAAAAGTAAAAAATAAAAACAGACCTCCTGTCCCTTTCAGTATTTATAATGTCTTTTTCCTCAGCCATTTTAGAGGAAGGATTTTAAAAGGCTTACTAGAAAAACACAGAAAATGTGTAAGACATGCAAAACTCTAAGAATTATGGAAACTGGTTTCCAAATAAATTTCTTAACTCATCCATGGTAGATGGGGTTATAGAAGGCTTGTGAAGCTGTGAAGTCTTTGTTCTGGTCATCTCCCAGCAGTAAAAGTTTAATTTACCAATAGGATCTCATAGTTGATTTTGTTTGACATGTTGGGATTTTGTATGAGATGTCATTTTAAAGATTTTTTTATCTAAAGATGTTTTAAATCTGCGATATTAGAGACTTTTAACGTGTAGAGGAAATTGCATACTGTCAGAAATGGGAAAAGGAATCAGGAGAAATGAAAGGAGCTTTGAAAGTAAATTATAAGAAGTAATAGGTTAACAGCAATTGGAAACAGTATTGACATGTGCACTAAATTTCACATGCAGGTTTTAGAAGTGTTTATTTCACTTTCTGTTTTGTTTTCAACTTGCTCTTAGGCTCCCGCTTACCATCTTATCTTGGAAGGAATTCTGATACTCTGGATAATCAGACTTCTTTTCTCTAAAACTTACAAACTGCAAGAACGATCTGATCTTACAGTCAAGGTAAGAAATTGAAGCCCAGTGTTATTTGGTGTGTGATGATAGTTGCTCCATCTTCAAAAAACCACTTGTAGTGGTTTTCTGGAAACCAACTATATGCTCAAATGTTTTCTGGAATGTAAGGAGATCAAGGGGAATGAAACACAGTGTAGGAAGAATATGGGAAAGCCAGGATGAAGTACCTACCCAGAGGAGTTCCGTGCCACAATTTCTCTGCTTTGCTAGGGGCAAACTGCAGTCTCACAAGTAGGTGATAAAAGAGCAGCATGGGCAACTACTGGATTTCCAATGTCCAAGTGCAAGATTTTATGAGTTGCTTGAGAAAACCCCACTCTTTCTGAAGTTTGAGTGAGTTTTTCCTATAGTAAGACTCCTTCCTAGCCCACAGCCCCCACCTCCCCATCCCAAGCCAGGTGAACCTTAGGAATTAGAAGTGCCCAGGGCATCGATGGCACTGCCCACTGCCACCCAATTAGTGTGCAGGACGATGTAGGGGCACTTAGTGACCACCTCAGTGGGAGAGAGGAAGAACAATTTTGACTGCAGCATAGTTTCTGTCACTCAGGTTGTTGTGCCAGGTACTTAGGGAGGCAGGGATTGTGAGACATGTTTTCCTGCAAAAATCTCTAAAATGTTGGTTCACAGGGCAGTATTGGGTACAGCAGAAAGATGAAGCAGTGGGCTTTTCTTTACTTTCTGGAGCATTCACAGAAGGAAATGCAAGTGGAATCACCACAGCCTTATACGATTGCTTCCCTGGTTTCTCTTCTGCTGCTGCTGTCCTGATCATTAATGTTAATCATGAAACCGTCAGGCGCTGTCTCCTAGAGACCATGCAGTGTGTGGTTCTGAGGGCAGAAAATTTTGGCAACCCGGGTAAAGCAGAAGAAAAAGGCATCTCATTGCATGATTTCTTATAACCTTTAGCATGCTGGTGCATATTTGACCTCTGTTTGGAGGAATGCCCTAAACTTGACCACAGTTCTCTCCCTCTCCCCCTGCTCCTTTTAACGAATACTTTATGGAATTATCTTGCCACGGAACAAATACTATTTCTGTAACACTGTAGTAAGGCTGAGCCTTCCAAGTCAGAAAATCCTGCCTATACTTTTCCCTTGGTGTTTAGGAATTTTTTGAGGATAATTGTGTGACCATGACACAAATTAGTCCAAATATTCTTAGTTTTCGTTTAAGCATATCAGTCCACGCATATATACATTTTCAAAAGAGTGCTATGTAAACCTACTTTAGAGTGATCCTCTGAAAGGACACTTTGCTAGAACAGGAGTTAGTAATCACTGATACCTTACCCTGACCGCAGTGGAAGAAAAAAGGAACTGTGAGTGTTGTGAGTGGGAAGTGCCCTTCTGTTAGATAGGTCTACAGAAGCTCCTCAACAGGAGGGCATCCTGAGTGCATTCTAACATGTGTCTTCACGGTAGCAGTGCCCAGTGTGCATTTACTCCATGTACTCCAGGCTTGTTCAGGCTGCTGTCCTCTTCCATGAGGTCATTGGCAGAAACACATGAGAAATTTAGTGGTTGATTTATTCGGCCAGCGTTTTTGAGTGCCTGAAAATCAGGTGACTGTGCCGTTGGTCCTGTTCTGGAGTTGCCCATCAGGAGAAGAATGCACAAAAGCATTTATCAGAAGTATGAGGATAGATTCCAATGTCTCTGGTTATATTTTGCTTGCTTGTTTGTTTTGTTGATTAGGTTCCACTTAGGGGTGAGGTCACAGTGTATTTGTAATTAAGAACAAACTGACAGTGACCAGAGGGGAGGTGGGAGGGGATAATGGGGGGAAAGGGGGAGAGGGTTTTCAGGAACCATCTATAAAGGACACATAGACAAAACCAAAGAGGGGTAAGATCAAGGGTGGGAAGTGGGGATGGCTAGGGTTGGGGAGAGCGGGGGCAGTAAAATGGAGACAACAGTATTGGAACAACAATAAAAAAAGGTAAAAAATAAAAAAGCATGAGACTAGAACTCTTAAGAGACGATCTGTTTGCGAGGCAAGAATTACTGTGGCCATCATGTTAATTTAGGTGCCTCAACTCATCCTGTACCTCCAGACTGCATTTCCAAAATTACCTGTTTTTCTGATACGAGATGGGATAAGAAAGTCAAAATAGTCAATATAGTTATAACAGATAAAAGGAATAAATTAGCTTTTTATGAGAACTTCCAAGCCAAATCCCATTGTAGGAATCGTGAGAAGTTTTTTTTTCCTGTATCTCAGCTACACCTGAATTTCTGTGATGGCTTGTAGAAATAGTGCTTTGTGACCTGGTTGATCCCTTCTCATAGTGGTCACCTCCATAAGCACTTCCGGTGTGGCTTCCTGTATTGTCTTGGAATAGAGGCTGAGCTGACTTACCAGAAATCATGCTTCTCACCTTTGTATTGTAGACTTTCTTTTTGTTTTACAATTTATAAGGTGTGCTTCATACTTCTCACAGTGAAAAAAATTCTGACCTAGCAATAAAATTTTCTTAACTTTTCCAGTCACCCGAAAGACTACATGGAAAAGAGCCTTTAGCCTGTGGTAAGAGGTGAGGAGGGTAAGTGCCCAAAACTCAGAAGTGATTCTGTTTCATTTCTAGCCACAACTACACCTGTTTCTCACAGTGTGTTCATTATGACTGTTCCACTACAACAGTTTAGATGCTGCTGGAGTCACGGTCCAGTGACTAGCATTGTGCTGTGTTGTAACACCTTTTCTCCCGTAGGGAAAAAGAAGAATTGATTGAAGAGTGGCAACCAGAACCTCTTGTTCCTCCTATATCAAAAGACCATCCTGCTCTCAACTACAACATCGTTTCAGGGTAAATCACTTTGCTGCTCAAAGGACTTGTACTCAGTTTCCTGTGGTTAAATTGCCCAAGTGAACAGTGGTTTCATGGTGTTCCTTTTTTACCTGAAATATAAGCTTTAGATATTTCTGCAGGTCAGAAACTGTCTGCTTTAGTTTCCAGTATAAAAATTTCTTTTAGGAATTGTGTGGGCATTTTAAAAAACGATTTTATTTATTTATTTTTTGGAGAGAAGAGAAGGGAGAGAGAAGGAGAGGGAAAGACACATCAGGGCGTGGTTGCCTCTCGTGCACCCCCCACTGGGGATGCCTGTCGTCATGAAAATATTTAGTATTTTGTTTAAAATCATGATGCAGGGAATGCTCCTGATTGTGTCCTTCTGCTTTGCTGTAGGAGAGGCTTGTATTCTTCACTTCCGTGGATTCTTTGATCTTACAAAAATTTTGCATGTTCTGAAATCAGACTTAACCAACCATTAATCTTGTGGAAGAAATCCTTCCCTACCCCAAAGGTCTGATTTGCCTGTTTTCCATGTGATGGTCAGTTGTCCCAGCATTATTAGCTGAATGGTTCATTTTTTTACCTATTGATTAGAAATTCCCCTTCCTTTGTGTACCAAGAACCCTTATAAAAGGTCTGCTTCTCTCTTTGTTTCTGTTCTTTAGGTGCCCTTGTCTCTCCCTGTTCCTGGAACCTCACTCTTGTAAATGACACAGCTTGAGAATAGGCCTTGACAAGAGTGAGCCCTTCTGCTCTTGAGAATAGTCTAGACTTAGTCTTGACTCTGTTCTTCACTGTGAGTTTAGGTTCAGTTGATCAAATAGGACCAAAAAGTGGGTTTAGGTTTGTGACTAGCAGTGCATTGAATTTATAGATTGATTTGGAGAGAATTGGAATCTCGCCAGTAATGAATCTCATCACCCTGTACCTGGGTTGTCACCTGTATACTTAGGTCGTTTATGTCACACAGTGAAGTTACATGACTTTCTTCATAAAGACTTGGCTGCTTATCTTTTTTGTTTCTACTTTCATTTTGAAATAATTGTGGATTCACACGCAGTTGTAAGAAATAATACAGAGATCCTTCTTAAGTTTCCCCCAGGGATAATGTTTTGCACAACCATAGTACAATATCACAACCAGGAAACTGAGGTCATATCTTCTAACGGACTCGTCCCTAGGTTCCAGAGTTCTACTTTCTGTCATGAGAAGCAACCTTTCCTTCTGTTCCTGTGTTATTTCACTGGTCGGGGCACCTCCCGTGCAGTGTTGAATAAGAGAGGTAACAAGGACCTCGGTGTCCCTGGCAGTTTATAAGAGATAACCTGTATCAAGTTATGGGTCTGCCATTCTCTTCTTGGTTTGCAAAGGGAACGTTTTGGTTTTCTAATCAGAATATTAAAATTTACCAAATTTGTTTCTGTGTCTATTGAAATACTCATGGCTTTTCTCCTCCAATCAGTTACCATGTTAAATTACACTGATTGGTTTTTTAAATTGGTTATGCCTATTCATAAATTCTTATTAGAGAAACTGCAGTTCCCGGAGCCTCCCATCCTCACCTCAGATTCCCACTCTCTGGAAGTAATTCCTTTCTGTTTCTTGCGCTCTTCCCCCCCGCCCCCCTGCTATTTGCTTCTGGTTTTCTAAGGAACTCGCTTATGCTGTTACTTCCTGAATTTTTTTTTCTTTCCCAGCTGTAATTACACTCATTAGCGGTAGGACAGAAAGATTGGCTGTCTGAAAACACATGCACACTTGCTGTCCCCAGGGCCATAGTAGCCCCTCTCGTGCCTTAGTGTGGACTAGAAAAGCCCCTTTTCCTCTGGCAAACACAGCAGCCTGCTGTGGACCTTGGCTGCACAACCACCTGCAGCCACCCTGTTCATCCCTTCTCCCAACAGAGTTCTGTGTTTGCATCATGTGTTCTTAGATTATTCCATGCTTACATTTTTATGGCTGCATTAATATCATTCATTGGTTAAGGTTGGCATTTATTTTTTCAATATGCAGAATATTTTAATTACATTGTCTTTCTTGTTGTCATTTCTGTTTGTCCACTTGTTTGCTTGATTTTACGTATTAGCCTACTTCATCCCATTGTCTTCCTCCAGAGTTATTTCTTGGGTCCATTTTCATTTTTTCTTCCTGGAACCGCTGTCTTCTTGCTCCAGTCCTGACTGGGTGCTACATAGAGCTGCTGCCCAGGGTGGCCCTGGGATCTCAACCTCTGCTTTAGCTCAGGAGTCCCTTTGTCTCTTTCCTGTGTTGGCAGTGTCCTCTGTCTGAGTTTACTCCTGTGTATGAGTAGAGTAAAGGTGGACTCCTGAGGAAGGCTATGGAAGGAAAAATTTTTGAAGCCTTATACATCTTAAAATTGCTTTTCATTTAACCTTTTACACTAGAGTGATTGCTTTATCTGTTTTTATCACTCTCTTAGACACGCTGTAAATGCCTGGTGAACTTACACACGTTTTTTCCCAATATGCAAAATAGTTTCATTGTAATCAACAGCATAATGTAAATAGTGTGCAAAAAAACCACAAACAAATGATGTTTTGTTGATATTGATAAACTTAGAGTTACTCTTCAATTTATGAAGTACCTCTTTACATTCAATACTGAGTTAACACAAGAATAAGTGAATTTACTTAACTTGGATGGATCTTTTCCCTTTAAATAACAGCCTTGTGGAAATATAACCCATATACCATAATAGTGACCCTGTTAAGGCACCCAGTTAAGTAGCTTTTTAGTATATTCACAGAGCTGTGCAACCATTGCCACCGTCCAATTCCAGAATACTTTCATCAACCCCAAAAGAAACCACACACCCATTAGCAGTCACTCTCCCTTTCCCCCCCTCCCCAGCCCCTGGCAGCTTTCATTTACTTCCTCTGTGGATTTGCCTGTTTTGGATGTTTCGTATAAAAGGAGTCATATCTGTAGTACTTGGCCTTTTGTGTCTGCCTTCTTTCCCTTAGCCTAATATTTTCAAGGGCCATTCATGTTGGACCCTGTGTCCCACATGTGTCAGTATTTCATTCATCCTGGTGGATGAATGATACTCCACTCTGTGGGTAGATCACTTACTGATTGCACATTTATCAGCTGATGGACGTTTGTGTTGTTTCCACTTGGGAGTACATGAAAAAGGAAAAAATACATTGGCATATATATCACTCCTATGAATATTTGTGTTCACATTATTGTGCGGACACGTTTTCATTTCTCTTGGAAATTTACCTAAGAGTAGTGGAATTGTGAGTCATACAGTAACTCACTTTGAGGAATCACCAAACTGTTTTCCTAACTGCCTGAATCATTTTACATCCTACAGGCAATGAATGAGAACTCTAATATCTCCATGTCCTGGCCAGCACTTTTCAATTATAGCCATCCTAGTAAGTGGGAAGTGGCATCTCATTGTGGTTTTGATTTCACTTCCCAAATGGCTAGTGAATTGAGCATCTTTTTATGCACTTATTGGCCACTTGTATATCTTCTTTGGTGAACAGTCAGTACTTAAGGATTTTGCCTATTTTTTAATTTGGTTATTTGTCTTTTAATTGAGTGGTAAGATTTCTTTATATATTTTGGATAGTAGGCCCTTGTCAAATATATGACTTGTAAATATTTTCTCCCATCATGTGAGTTTTTGTATCTTTTTTTCTCCCTGTGTACTTTGAGACACAAATGTTTTAAGTGTATTTAAGATGTAAAAATTTTTTTGTTGCTGATTGATTTGAGAGAGAAAAGAGGAAAGGGAGAGACTCATCAATTTGTTGTTCCACTTATTTTGCATTCATTGGTTGATTCTTGTATGTGCCCTGTGACCGGGTTTTGGACCTGCAACTTTCACGTGTCGGGATGATGCTCTAACCTACTGAGCAACCTGGTCAGGGCCACATCTTTTTAATTTTAATGAAGTCCAATTTATCTATTTTTATGCTTGTTGCTGTGCTTTTGTATTATATCTAAACATCTTTGCCCCATCCAAGATTATGAAGATTTACTCTTTTGTTTTCTTTTAAGAGTATATCGTTTTTGCTCTCAAATTTAACTCTGATTCACTTTAATTTTTATAATGCTGTGAAGCGTAATAATGAAGATTCATCTTCATTCTTTTACATCGGTATACCCAGTCCAGCACCATTTGTTGAAAGGACTATGCTTTCCCTGTTGAATTGTCTTGGCTCTCTGTTGAAAATCTATTTTTAAGAATGAGTCACTGAAATGGTCATTGGAAGCCCTGTGTAAATGGGCTGGACTTCCTGACTGGTCGTGGCATCAGTAGAAAAGCACCTGTCCATTTGTTTGAGGGGACCCCCCAACTCAGTATTTTCTGCTTTTCTTCTCTTGATTTTGAGTTTTACCTAAAAGAAATCCTTCAGTATGTTGGGTAGCGTTTCCAGCCTTTGGGAATAAACCTGGTTCCCAGCCTTTGGGAGCTGAGTTGGAGGACAGACAAGGGCTCAGTGTCCCGATTTTATTATGCAGATTTATACTTGATTTCTGTTTCCAGAGTGGCACAGGACCCATCACTGGCCCTTAGGACTTTCAGGTTACATCCAGCCTTTCCAGAGTGCATCTCCCACCTTTCTGCAGGGCCGGAGGGGATCTGAGGAAGTGACTCCTGTTGAAGATTTTGAAGTCATCCCCTTGAGCCCACGCTGCCTGCTCCCTACTGTCACAGGGAGCTTTGCCCCCAACCTGAGAGCATTTTCTGGTTTGCTGCTGGGCTTTTCCCTGCCAGCCTACATTCAGCTTTCTCGCTGATCTCTTTGCCTTACCAAATACAGCTTCTTCATTTACTTTCCAGTTTCCAACTTTTTGCTACTGTCATCTCCTTCTGTGTCCTGCTTCTGATCAAGTTAGACATTTTCGACTTTGTAGGCCTTGTTGTGAGAGCTATCAGAAGGGACCAGAGGTTGAAGTGGGGTTTTGTTGTTGTTGTTGTTTTTAATTTTATTTCATTCTCTTGTTTACCAGGATTCACTGGTAGGTTTTTCTATTTTCTATGTAAATAATCCTTACATTCCTAGAAGAAACCCTGCTTAAGCATGACTATTTGGTTTTTATACATTGCGAGATTTATTTTGCTAATATTCGGGAGTTTAACATCTGTGTCCAAAGCTGAATTTAGTCTCTTCTTTTTACTTTCTGTGCTGGTCCAGTTTTGGTAACAAAGATATATTAATCAGTCTTACCATTTTCTTAGCAACAGTGTGTATTTCCTGTGGTATTCCATCGAGCATAGATTTTTCATCCTGAATTCATTGCCTTCAATGAGTTTGTAAAGCTAATCAGTTTTCCTTCTTAAGGTTTGCTTACCAATATTTAGTCATTGTCCATTTCTTCTGTTTTCAAATGTACTGACGTGAGTAATTTATAGGTTTATCCTGGGAATGCATTGATAGAATACATGCATAAAACTTTATTATACAGATGGATATAATGATACATCTGTGGAGTTTGTGTCTCCTTTGCGAGCATCAGTTGTGTCTCCTTCTTTCTCACGCAGATTCTCCAGAGGCTTGACTTCTGGTTTAGTTGATTTTCTGGTTTATTTTGTACATTTTGAGGCTTTGGAGACACAGGCATTAACCCTCCTCTGCTCAGCTTCACTCTTGTCAGCACCCACATGAGGCAGCGCTCATTTGCTTTGTTCTTTGTTTTCTTCGCCCCTGGTGCCTGCATCCACTCTCGTCCCCCCCTGTAGTATTTCCTTATGTTTTCCATCATCATTTTGCATGTTATATATTTTTATGTTATTAAAATGATATATTTCATTTTTATATTGTATGATCGAAACCACATGATTTTAATGTTTTATGAATGGATATTTTTAATTTTGTGCTTTAGACTGCATTCTGATTTTTACAAGATTTTTACTCAACACATTTTTGTCAACAAATATTGGAGCACCTACTATGTTTAAGGGATGTGCTGAGTACATTGACTTTTATAGCAATAAATAAAAATCTTAGTTTTCTTGGGGGCAGACAGACAGACTATGAAATAAATATAACATTAGCTGGTGTTGGGTGGTATGAGGAAATATCGAGCAGGGCGTACAGAGGGGTGGGAGTGCTAGATGGACTTCTTGTCATTTCTTCTCACTGCTGCCTATTTTCTTATATATAGCCACTAAGTTTTACCTAGCTATTTTCCTCCAGATGGAAAATGCCATCTTGAGGAGAAAGATGCTATAACTACTCCCGCAGTTAATAGCCCCTTGCACACCTGTTTGAGTCCTGCTGGGTTCGTATAGCCAGCAATGGAGTAATATATGGCCATCTGATTTTCCTGTGGGATTTTTCTTCATCATGATTGCCCTGTGGATGCCCCCCCTGAGTTTGCTTATTGGGGCTCCAGTCCCCTCACTGCCTGGGTTGGTTACATTGTTTTATTTTGCGCTTCTCTGATTATGTGAGCCTGTGAACATTATTTCATCTCCTTATTAGTCATTGGGGTTTTGCCTTTCTGCGAATGCCTCTTCATGTCTTTTTATATCCTTCTCTTGTCACCAACTTGTCAATTAATTAGCAAGAAACCCTCAAACCGTGCAGATTCTGATCCTTGCTCAGTCTTTGATGTAACACTTGAATGCATTTATTCTCCCATGTACTTTTTTCCCCTCTGTTGTAAGATCTCTGAATTGGAGGTGAACCTTACAGCTGCTGTAAATCATTGTCAGCCAGGGGGCATGGTGGTTGGTGGTTTTCCTCACCTGTGTACCAGTGAACTTGGTCACAACTAGGTTCACTGCCAGCACTTCAGCTGAGTTATGTGCCCTGCTGGTGAGGAAATCAGCTGATGGCAGGAGACATGGCCAAACCACTCTGAGCAGATGAACAGAGGCTGCTGTGACTGAGGATTTGAACATCCCTTTGTCAGACTTCTGTTGCCTTGGGATGATGCCAGCCTGTTTTGTAGAAAACGTGGCTCAAATGGCAAAAGATGAAACTAGGAGTTTAGTCCAATAGGAAAGTTCCAGCATTAAAACGTAGAGAATGGGTGACACCACCTTGTCAGGTAATCTCGGAGCTGGTAGGGGAACGTCCTGCTGAGCCAGGCCTGGGTGTTAGGTGGCAGGGAGCAGAACGTTGTGTGATTGTCCATGGTGTCTGTGACTTAGCAGAGGAGAGCACAGCGTTGGAACTTGGGTTAGAAGTGTCTTGGCTGATTTAATTGCTTATAAGTACAAAAAATTATAACAAAAACCTCTCTCTAAGAGTGCCCAGTGGATCTTTTCATTCAATATAATCTATGAAATTCTGGATGACAAGAAAACATCGTGACCTGACCTTTTAGTCGATAGTGTTTTCTTCCTTAATGGTAGGTAATAATACAGTTGGTGCTTTCTTAGATTTCGTGAGATACAATACAATAAATCTCTCTGTTACCCATCTGTTTACTATGTCTTTGGTGTTCTCATTAAGCCAAAATTCTTAATTTTGACATGATCAGATTCATTCATCTTGGCCTTGTGGTTTGTGTGTTTTCAGAGTTGTTTAAGAGAACATTTCCTACTCCCAAGGTCACAAAAACATTTTTCCTACATTTTGTTTTATTGCCTTACCAAAATAACCTTTTGGTTTGTGACATGTCTGGAATTTACCTTTGTTCGTGGTTATACAACTTTATTTTTCTCCATTGAGAAATATAGGTGTTTGTGGGACAGATGTTATTATCTGCCAGTTCCTTGTGTATATAAACCATTCTCTTGAGTTCTAGATTCTCTCTTTGGTCTAGTTGTCTATTCTCACAGCAGCACCAAACGATATTAATGGGGGTCGGTAATGTTTGTTTCTTTCTGGGTAAAGCACCATTCTTTCTAAGGTCACATAGCCTTTTGGGAAGCTTTATTCATCCATGTCATTTCTGGCTGTCACTAGTGAGGTGGTTCTTTTGGTTGGGAAGGGTTTTACAATATTTTTGCTCTTTCCCATTCTCTGAGGCCTGATTGTGGAGGTGTCTTTTTAGTTTGGTTTTATTTGCTTGTGTGAGGTGACCTTGAAGGGTGTTATGCTCCAGGCTGTGTCGGGTACATACCCACGTGGAACACAGGTCTGAGCCTTCCATTTCTCACTGGAAACTGTTTTCCTTCTTTGTCCCAAGTGCTGGGCAAAAATCAGATCCCGGCATCCCTGTGTCGTGCTGCCTCTTGACTGTGGTCAGGGACTTCTGGCTGTGTGTATTCACAATAGTTTGATTTCTCTGTGTGTTGCGGTTTTTGGTGAATGGCCTCCACTTGCTCAGCAGCAACCATTACTACAGGTTTGTCTATGTAGGTGTTTTGTTTCCTTTTTTGAAAAAAAGATTTTATTATTTATTTTTAGAGAGAGGAGAAGGGAAGGACAAAGAGAGGGAGAGAAACATCAATTTGTGATTGCCTCTCACGCACCCCTTACGGGGGGGACCTGGCCCGCAACCCAGGCCTGTGCCCTGACTGGGAATTGAACCGGCGACCCTTTGGTTGGTTCGCAGCCCGTGCTCAATCCACTGAGCTATACCAGCTGGGGCAGGATGCTAGCAGGGGCAGGATGCTAGCAGGGGCAGGTGTTTTGTTTCTTATCTTTTTGTGAGTGCCAGAACCTCCACACCAGAGAGGACTGGGGAAACTTTAAGAAGCCCTGAGAAGGATGAATCACAGTGTGTGAAAAGAGAAGAGATGAAGCCATAGGGGAGAAGGAAGAAAATATTTAGAGAGCCTCTCTTTGGGCCAAGCCCATTTATAATGGAAATTACCTTGAGAAAAAGTTCTCTCCCCACTTTATAGATGAGGAAACTGAGGCTCACAAAGCTCAGGTAACTTACACAAGTTTCTGAAGTCATCAGTAGCCTCAGTGCCAATGGGGTGTCTGACTGATTCTACAACCCATGTTCCTTTCACCAAGTCATCTTGCCTTTTGTGAATTTGTATCTGCTTTTCTGACTTTACTTGAGCTTGCCATTCATTTCCTTCTCTGGTTTTCCAGCATCTTTTTTTTTTTTCCTCATAGAAAATCAGTTCTTTTTAAACATACCGATGAGAGCAGTTCCTCAGTCTTTTCTGGCCACAGTGCATTTTTGAGAGCAGCCCAGCTTTACAACCAGTGCAAATGTGTAACTGGAATAAGTTGCGGGCGCAGTCCTTTTCCTTGCGCTGGGCTGTGCTTTCTGATAAGCGCAGTCCATCCTATTCTTCTGGTTGCCTTTAGTTAAAATAGCCTGGCTGTGTCAGAATCAACTGGTCTTACCACGCTGTCATTGCTCGTCACCCATAGCTTGGCCCTGTATTTCTGAAGTGTGGCCACAGCTAGTGTTCATCAGCCAAGGACGTGGGCTGTCTGTTGGGACACCACCTGCTGTGCCAGGCATACTCGGGTGCATGCGCCTGTGGAGTTGGCCACTCTATTTCCTGTAAAAAAGTTTTTTGGGGGTGCAGGGAGGAATTTCTGGTGAATGGTATTTCAGCATTAACTTTAGCAATTGAGTACATGTCCCACTTACTCTTTTATTGGCTCCCTACAGATAACATTTCTTTTTTAAACCACAACACGGTAAGATTGTAACTTGCTCTGCCTATTCCTGCCTTTGATCTTGGTCTTTTTGTATTTTCTCCATAGTTATCTTATCCCAGAATTTTTCTGAGGTACTTTATTTAGCTATTCTTTCTTAAGTGAATTTTAAAATCAAAACCAAGATTTTCCCTCTACCCATTTTGGAATTCTAGCCCACTTCTTAATTTAAGTGTACAGGGTAGCCTATTAGGAATACAATGACTGGCTGAGTATTTGATTTTTAATATGCCCATGTCTGATTTTACTTTTAAAAAATAAGAAGTAAAAGTTAGGAGACTAGTATGCAAATAGGGCAGAATAACCACACTTCCATGTCCTGTCTGCTGCCAGGGGCTAATGTGATAGCATGTATGCTGACACATAAATGTCAGCTGAAGTAAACCATTCTCGTTTGTTTTCCCCAGCCCTCCAAGTCACAAAATTGTGGTGAATGGAAAAGAATGCATCAACTTTGCCTCATTTAATTTTCTTGGTTTGTTGGATAACCCTAGGGTCAAGGTAAGTAGTACCTATGCTGAAGTGGAAAGATAGTATGACTGACTTAAGAAACTGGGCATAAAATCAAAGACAAATGCAGAACATGAGAAAGGGCTCTGCTAGTGTCTGCCAGTACTCCTTTCTGGAAGAGCTGTGACCTGGATTTCCACAAAGGGTGGCAGGAATGTCTGCTGTGGCTTGGTGGTGTAGGAGCCAGACCTGGTGACCATCAGAGATGTGTGTGGGAAATGGCTTCATCTCCTATTGGGATTGTTGGCCAGTAAATATTTTTAAGAACAGACTTATGTCCACAAATGCCAAAAAGTGTAAAAGCATTACCTTAACCAGGATTTGATAATTGAGTTAGTAGAACATCTCCATGTTTTAAGTTATATCTCTAAATCTCTATGTCAGTCTTTTCTTTATATCCTGTTGTTAGGATGTCATGGTTCCAAGAAAGGAAAGAAAATGGAGGGAGGAGTTACATGGGTTAAAGAATAAGAATTGCCAGCTTGTAACTCCTACTTTCTTTTCTTCCTGAAAGGCAGCAGCTTTGGCATCTCTAAAGAAGTATGGTGTGGGGACTTACGGACCTAGAGGATTTTATGGCACATTTGGTATGTTTCAGTTGCGTTTCTCAGGCTATACTGCTTTCAAGAATTGAGATGCCATTTGACTTCCAAATTCCTTGGAAATGATATCCTTAATTAGTTGTAGCATTAAACTGGTGCTATTGCTTACCCTACTTTCTAGAGCATTGTGTGTTTGGAACGTGTGATGGGGCATTGGATGTCATTTGCGGAGAATGACATCCGTAGTTACATTATCTGTGTAGAGGTCTTAGCTCAAAGTCTGAGCTGCTGTTCCACATCCCCCTAGAGGCAGTGATGTGAGGAGACAGTTTGTGTCTGTGGGATGTGACAGTTGTAAAGGGAAGGGTCCTGTGCGGGTTGGTCTCCTCTTCCAAGTTGTGCAAGAACCAGGATATCCTGTTTGTTTCTCCAGTGTGGAGAGCACCGTCCTTGTCTGCGTGCATCCAGGTGGCAAATTTAGGGGAGTGCAGGGGAGAAGTACACTTTTAGGCAGGCAAGTAGTGCTGCATATCACTTTGTCCACATTTCCTTGGTGAGACAATAACCCAGCTCCTGCCTCGCTGCAAAGGGGACAAGGAAGTAGCTCTAGCTGGATAGCTAGCACATTACAGGGAGAAAGGCAAGAACAGGTGGGGGCATGATAGTCTCTGTAGCTCTTTACCTTCTAGAATGAAGATGAAGGGTCATTGTTTTGAGTGTGGGTGACTCTGGGAAAGGCTAACTAAATATTAGGATGCCTATGTGTGATTTCAAACACCATGAACTCCCTAACTGAGACTTTTCAAAGACAACCGTGACATTTTCTGGTTGTGTTTATTGAATGTATATTGGTGTTTTTTTCTTCTGAAAATTTTGAAACTGTTAAATGGTTGTTCCACTGAATATATTCCCGGAAATAACATTCTGGCTTACAAGATGTCCGAGTGTGGGGAAAGTAAAGCTGGGGAAGTCTCTTCTGCCTTCATTCCCACTTCTGGGTCTTTGTGTGGTTTTATTTTTTCTTTCTTTGTTTCTCCCCCCCTCCCCTTTCATTTAAGACGTTTTTATTTAACAAAGCATCTTTATTCCTTAGCATGTTTAGCACTTAAATTTTTTATATTGGAAACAGGTGACAAGGGTTAGTGTTTAAGAATCCTACAGCTGGAAAGAATTTTAAAAATCTTGTACTCCAGCATCCCAACTATTCATAAGGTGAATAGAAAGACCAGAGAGTTTATGTGACGTCCTCACAGTCACACAGCTCATTAACTTCAACCCTAAAACTAGAAACCTAGTGTGCTGACTTGTGGTCTTATTTTTTTTTATTGAATAATTCTTTCCTTAAATATGTTTTTAATTTTTCATCAATAGTTGTCATACTAATATCATACTAGTTTTAGGTTTACAACATTGGTTTGTATAATTTAGGATCACTCTGTTAAGTGTAGTGCTCATCTGACTCCATACATACTTATTATAATATTATTGACTGTATTCCCTATTCTGTACTTTACGTCCCTGTGACTTACTTTATAACTGCCCATTTATAGTTCCTAATCCCTCCACCTTTTTCACCCATCTCCCCCAAACCCCCTCCCATCTGGCAACCATCAATTTGTTCTCTATATCTATGAGTTTTGTTTTACTTGCTCATTTACGTTGTTTCATTTTGCTTTGTTTTTACATTTCCCATATAAGTGAAATATGATACTTACTTTTCTTTATCTTAGTTACTTCACTTTAGCTTTATGTACTCTTAAGTCCATTCAGGCTGTGCAAATGGCAAGATTCATTCTTTTTTATGATTAAGTCATATTCTATTGCATGTATGTACCACTTCTTCTTTAGCCACTTGTCTATTGATGGGCACTGAGGCTGCCTCCATATCTTGGCTATTGTAAGTAATGCTGCGAAGGACATTGAGATGTATATGTCTTTGAATCTGTGTTTTCAGTTTCTTTGGATACATACCCAGAAGAAGAATTATTGGGTCCTTCTCTGTCTTTTGCGATAGCCTTTGTATTAAGGTCTTTTTTTTCTGGTCCTGTCTGGTGTGAATCAGTTGGTTTGAGAGTCGTCTCACACACTGAAATGTCACAATTTCGATTCCCGGTTACTGCAAATACCTAGGTTGCGGGTTCAGTCCCCAGTCTCGCACTTACAGAAGGCAACTGATGGATGTTTCTCTCACACATTGATGTTTCTCTCTCTCCCTCCTTCCCTCTCTCTATAAATACATCCTTGGGTGAGGACTGAAAAAAAAATAAAATAAATCTGTTTTTGTCTGGTACAAGCATTGAGCGCCCAACTTTTTGTTCACATATTCAGTTGCATTAAATATGTTTTTCCATTCCTTTATATTCAATCTGTGTGTCTTTCAATCTGAAGTTGGTCTCTTGTAGACATCATATGTAAACATCTTTTTTAGGTCCATTCAGTCATCCTAAGTCATTTGATTGGTGCATTTAATCCATTTACATTCAAAGTAATTATAGATGTGTATGAATTATTGCCATTTTGTTATCTTTTTCCTTTTTCCTCTTGTTCTTCTTACTTATTACTTCTTCCTCTTCCTTCCACCTTTCCCTTCTTCTTTGTTTTCTCCTTCCTTCTTCTCCTCCTCCTTCACCTTTTCCTCTTCTCCTCTTTTTCTTCTTATTTCATTAACATTTCTTATAATAATGGTGTGGTGGTTTTAACTCCTTTAGCTTATTATTATTATTTTTTTTTGTCTGGGGAGCTCTTTATCTGTCCTTTGATTCTAAAAGAGATCCCTGCTCGGCAGAGTAATCTTGGCCATGGGTTTTTGCTTTTCATCGCTTTGAATATTTCGTGTCAGTCCCTTCAGCCTGCATAGTTTCCATGGAGACATCAGTGGCAGTCTTATGGGAGCTTGCTTTGTAGGTAACTAAGTGCTTTTCTCTTGCTGCTTTTAAGATTCTCTCTTTGGCATTTTAATTATGCTATGTCTTAGCATGGGCTTCTTTGGGTTCATCTTGTTTGGCATTCTGTATTTCCTGGACTTGTATGTCTGTCTCCTTCACCAGGTTAGAGAAGTTTTCCATCATTATTTCTTCAAATTGGTTTCCAATCTCTTGTTGTCTCTCTTCTTCTTCTCATACTCCCATGATGTGAATGTTGGTATGCTTGATGCTGTCCTAGAAGCCCTTTAAACTATCCTCATTTTTTTGATGGGGGGGGGATTCTTTCTTCTTTCTGCTGTTTTGACTGTGCGTTTTGTGCTACTTTCTCCTACTAATTGCCCATTTGCTCCTCTGCTCCATCTAATCTCCTGTTGATTTTCTCTTACGTGTTCTTCATTTCAGTTATTGTGGTCTTCATTTCTGATGGGTGGTTTTTTATGTTTTCTCCCTCCATTTCTATGGTTTCTGTCTTTTTGTTAAAGTTCTCACTGAGTTCATTGAGCATCTTTAATAACTGTTGTTTTGAACTCTGCATCTGGTAAGTTGTCTCCATTGTGTTTAGTTCTTATTCTGGAATTCTGTTCTGTTCTTTTATTTGGTTCATGTTTCTTTGTCACCTCATTTTGCCTGCCTTTCTGTGTCTGTTTCTATGTGCCTTGGTCTTGGTAGTGGCATTATGTAGTAGGTGTCCTGTGGGGCTCAGTGGTGCTATCTTCTCAGTGGTAACCTGAACCAGATGCTCCTGGTTTGTCTCTTGTATAGGATCTGTGTGACCTCCTGTTGTAGTTGAGCTTTGATTTTTGTTATCAGGTCAGCTGGAAGGATTGACCCTCAGGCTGATTGCCTGTGAGGAACGGCTTGACTCCAGTGAAGGAGCTATTTTGCAAGGGCTGACCCAACACCGCAGGATTTGCGTTGGCAGGGCTCTTGTGCCTGTCGCGTCTGCCCTTTATGCATGCTGCTTGTGATGGTGGGGGGCAGTGCCACGGTGTGGTCTGAAGCGGGCCACCTGGTGTGTTGGTTATGGAGCCTCTTGGAAAGCACTCTGGTGTATGGCAAGGTCAGTCATTGCTTGTGCCCTGCTGTTGGCCACCAGACTAAAGCTACAAACTGATCTGCAGATGGTTGCCACTAGTGCTGGGCTTGGAGGCAGCTGGAAGAGTCTAAACTTCTAAACGAGGCTGGCTGCAGTTTACGCCTGACTTAGAGCTGCTTAGTGAGAGGTATGGGAGTCACTGAGCCCAGATGCTGCTTGTTAGGCATTTGTAAACCCTTGAGAGATTTTCGGAAAGTCCCTAGCATGAGCCAAGACCTGCCATTTGTATGGAAGGGCCACTAAAAGCAACTGGGGTGGACAGCAAATTTGGTGGGGTGGGATCTCAGGGAATTATGGTGTTAACCAGGCAATGGAGCCTCGGATATGGTACCCGCTGGCTCTGTGGGGAGAGGGTTCAGCAAAGGAACAATGGCCTCTGCCAGCACTTGTGCATGGGAAAAAGCTTCCCCTCCTTCCCTCACCCAAAGCCAGACAATTCAATTCCCCCTTGGTGCTGTTTGAGCTGGAGCTCAGAGAGAGTCCATCAGAGTAAGTCCATGCTCTGGCTCTTGAAGAGGAATGCCTGAGACTCCAGAAGCCCTTTATCTCAGCCACAGTCTTCACTGGTTTTCACAGCCAGAAGTTATGGGGACTTCTCTTCCCAGCACTGGAACCTTGAGATGGGTAGCCTGGTGTTGGGCTGGGACCTTGCACTCCCCAGTGTGGATCTCTGCAGCCGAGATATCCGTCCTCATTTTTACCCGCCACAGAAGGGTATGGGACCGGCTTGTTTTGGTCTCTGCCTCTCCTGCCATTCTCAACATGGCTTCTTATGTGTTGGGAACCGCCCTGACTGGTATCAGAAGCTGAAACCCCCACCTAGGCTAAGGCTAAGGGAACACCCTTGGAACCCTAAGCCAGCAAGGAGACAAAAGCTTATCTCCCTGGCAGGAATGCTGCTTCTGCTGCTTTATTCATAACTGAACCCCAAAAAGCTTGGTCGGTTAGCCAAAGATAGGCAAGATTCCCCAAGGAGGGAATGACCTAAGACAGGCACGATCACTTTGGGAGCCCCCCCAAAAGAAGGACTTGGGGGGCTGCAGCAAAAGGGGGTGATGGACCCTCACTCCTCAGCTTTGAAAAAGCCTGGGTTCTCATCGTCTGGGAGAAAAATCTCCTTATCTCTTGGTTACCTTAGTTCCCTTGCTCCACCTAAGCCTGAAACAATGACAGGGTGGTGCAGCTCTGTGCTGAAAAGGGTGGATTCCCTGGGTGATCAGGCCTAAGAAAGAATATGTAAATTACTGTGAAACCTTCTTTGTTTAGAATGCTCTCAGTTGAATGAGAGGGGTCCAAGTAGGAAGTTATGTTCCTCAAAGTCTTACAGCTCTTTGACCCCGACTCAAAATAGACCAGCAGGGTTCCTTGTTTTCTATGGTTCCTTACTTCCCCCTAATGAGTACTGTACTTTACCTGAATTATTATGCAAAATGAGCCCAATAAAAGCAGGTATGGACTGTAAATCGGTGCGCTCCCCACTAGAGGGGTTGGCCATTTCATCCCTACTTCCCCACAGAAACTAGTTTGTCTCTGTGCATGTTATTTCTCGCGTGTTTTCGTCGAGCCATCCGTAGAGTTCCGTGATCACTGCTGGCCGGTGACCCACGCAACACTTCTGTATATTTCATAGTTAGAGAACTTCTGTTCAGCTGGTCTTCAGGCAGTTGTCAACAATGGTTGTTCTGCAGTGTAGTTGTATTTTTGATGTGGTAGTGGGAGGAGGTTTATCTACTCTGCCATCTTGACCAGTGCTGACTTCAGTGTTAATGGCAGGTTCAAACAGTTAAATGAGCTCCAGTCAGACTCCCTCCTTGTTCTAAGCCTACTGTAAACATGGGTTGTTTGCATGGTTCTGATCAGTTGAGTTGGGAATGATATCCTTTGTAAGTATGAGAAAACTGGAAAGGCATTTTTCGTGGGGTTGATTGTTGTAATCTGATCAACAAGACTTTCTTTCTATGAGCTACCTATTGATGTAGAGCAGTTGCTTTCCTAAAAGCTTCACTGTCTAGTGGATTTTATTTGCATGTGTGCCCTTGGCCCCTGCTTGGGAGTTAAACTGAGGTGCTAACTCAACTCAGGAAAAACAAATGTTTTAAGCCTTCAAGACCAGCTTTCCCAAAGCTATAGAAATATATTGTTATAACAACCCAGTCACCTTGCCATTTGGATCATCTAAAATTTAATGTGCATAGTAGGATGTTATATGCTTCTAAACAGGGGGTCTTTAGATGAATGGCCTTTAAATTAATTCTCTTGACTGAATAATTCAGCTCATGTATACACTTCAGTAGGTTTCTGGACAGAGAGAGTGACAAGTCTTCCCTTTCCCATTGCCATCCCACCTCCCCCCCAAAGACAGCTTCTATCAGTAGTTCCTTGTCACTTCTTCCAGAGACTGTTTTTTAGCATTCATAAACCACTTCCACATGTATATATTTTCCCCCATTTTTGCAAAAATGGTAGCATACCACACACATGGTCTTTACCTTGTTGTTGGAGTGAGTGTTTTAAATTGGATTTGATTTTCCAGGTGTTTGTGAATGTGCCACCTGAGGCAGTGTGAGCGTACTTAACACACTGTGTATCAACTCCTCTGTCACAGAATCATCTTTATCCTTAAGTGTAGCTGAAGCTTCAAACAGACTGTGTCATCTTGTGGAGGAGCTTCATTCCACAGAACTCTCCCAGCTGCCACAGATGACAATAAGTCTACCAAGGCATGATCTGCTTGGGAGGAAAGGCTGACCAGTCTCTCAGAGGAGAAAGGTGTCAAGCCTCTCTCTCACTGAGCTTTTATTTGGTTTAGTTTGCATAGGGATGCATATCAAAGAGAGGAGGTATGGCTTCCAGATAACATTTCTGGGATGACGTGGGTCCTTTGGGTCAGGGTCTGGTAGACGGGGTGATGCCAGTCAACTGTAAAACCTTGGGAAACAAACTCATTTCATGCTTGGACACTAACATTTAAACTGAATACATTCTTAGCCAAAGCAGGTTTCACAGGATTTAATGCATTCTTTCTTAGGCCTGATTGCCTAAGAAACCACTGAGGACCACCAGTTCTGACACAGGGCTGCACCCCCCTTTGGCATTGTTTCAGGCTTGAATCAGGCAAGGGAAGCAAGGCAGCCAAGAGATTTGGAGACTTTTTACAGACAGAATGAGGACTCAGGGTATGATAAAGCTGAGGGGTGAGCATCTTTTGTTCCTCCTCCATAATCCCCTAAGTCCTCCCCTGATGGCCCCTTCATGACTGTACCTGTCTTAGGTTGTTCCTTTCTTGAGGAGTCTTACCCATCATTGACTATCCAGCCATCCTCCAGGGGCCAAGCAGGGTGAATGAAGTAAAGGCAGCAGGGGCTCTCTTGCAGGGAAGATAAGTTTTGTCTCCTTAGTGGCTTATGGTCCCAAGGTCCCCTAGCTGTGGGGCCTTTTCGCCTGCTGGTGGCGTTACAGCTCCTGAAACCAGGCAGGATGGTTCCCAACATCATCTGGCATAAGATTCTTATTAATTTACAGTGGTTTTTGTGACAAGACACTAAACCCATAGCTTGGAGTAATAAGTAATATTTTTTAGTAAACGTGATTTGTTCCTTAATAGGTGCCCATTTTTGCTTGTCATCTTTTCTTTTTTCTTTAGATGCCCATTTGCTATATTTCTCCCTTTTTTGTTTTCCAACAGGGTATTTTCTATGTGTCTTCTGTTTTAGCAATAATCACTTAAATTATTGTAGCTGTGTTAAATTATCTTGAAATTTCAGTGTTAGATAAGATCAGAGAAGCTACTTGAGGTCAGGAAGGGTAAGTTTTAAAAGTCTAAAAACCCTATACAGTTAACTTACCCTGGATATTTAGGGTACATTTTCCTTTTTTCCCTGATTAGTAAAGCAAATTTGGCAACCTCTTTCCTTTTCTTTGTAGTTGCTTGTGTATTTGTGAGGTCTGGGGATCTCTTTTCCTGGATCCCCAAAATGTTGCCTTTAATTTTGTCTTTTCTTTTTTCCTAAAAGTCTCACATTCAATTTTCAGAGATGAAATATTCTTTTAGCTCTTTTATCAGCCTTATAAATGTGAATTACTTATTCAAACATTCTCTTTTATTTCACAGTAACTATTAGATGATATTAGGTAATTAATACAGGAAAACAAAATTAAACAACAGTTGAATCAAAATTCTTCTAGCTTCTTAGGCTAAATGTTCTCCTGTCTCCTGAAGGCCTGGCTGGTAGAACTAACTGTTCTTATGATAGTCTTCTAACGATGGCATAATGAGAAGTTTCTCTTCCCTTTCCTTTTATTGTTTTAATGTGTGATTTGGAACCCAGCAAGTGGTTTTATCATTCATTCCTTCTTGGAAGCCCTTCTTTTATGTAGATCCAACTTTCTGATCTTTATCACTAGGGCCCTGTTTCATGTTTGTGTTATAAAAATGCTATAAGCTTGAAATATTTTTAGTGTTCTTGTTAGTCTCTCCTCTTCACTTTGGGCCTTTCCCAAGCATTCCTCAGAGAGAGTCTGTGTCTTGCATTTCTTTGGACTGTGACCCACACTTATGGTAGTAGACCATAAATTTTGATGTGATGGTAAATTGTGGGAGAGGGATAGCATTCTCTAATCTCTCAGGAAGTCTTAATATTTAGTGAGCATCAGGGCTGTGGCCTTCACAAGTGTTTCTGACTCTCCTCCAGGGATATGCTTCTCTCAGATCTTCATACTCCTTTCCCTGGCTGCAGCATTGCCAACATAGTTCCTTGAAGCCCTATTCTCTGTTGATATATACGTTCTCCCCGCTCACCCTCTTACATAAGAAACCAAGGATGTAGGGGTCTTATTCTCTTAGCTGGAATAAGTTTTTAGAATTGCACTCTG